TATAGCAAATATCTATTAAAATCACCCTATATAATAAAAGCCTAATATGCTAAGTGTCCGACCATTTGACCGGTCGCTATGATGCACACTGACCACCAGGGGGCAGATGCCCCAATCGGTAGGGTAGCTTGCTGCTGGGGTCTGGCTAATTGCAACTGGATGAGACGAGAAGGACATTCCCTGGAGCCCTCCTGCAGTCCCTCCCCAGCCCCGATCATGCACCGGTGAGGTCCCTTGGCCTGGCCTGCACCCTCTCACAATCAGGGACCCCTCAAGGGATGTCCACAGGACAGGACAAGGGACCCTACCAGTGCATAAATCTATGCACTGGGCCTCTAGTATTACATAATGTATTGAAAACTAAGAAGGGTAGGATAACTATCTAATCTCCCAACATATTACCCCCTCCATTTTCTCATCTCATTTTTCCTTTCCTCCCTATCCTCTCTCCTGAGTAAGATGATATTCTTTAACATTTTATAATGTCTATTAATTCTAAATTACAGAAATTATTTGCTTCCAGCCCTGATGAGTAACTGGTACTAAACTAGTCCCTCTCCATTGCAACGATAATAATAGTGCAATTCTATCTACCTGCCCTCTTCTTTATGCAATTTTAGTTCTATCATTTAATTATATTTATATTATAAACTCTAACTTACTATTATTTTTGCTTTCAATCATTAGTTGTCTTTTAAAGAAATAATGAGAGTAAAAAGCAATCTACATATTTATCCAGTTATTTATCATTTCTGGCATTCTTCATTCCTTCTTGTAAATATATATTTCTCTTCAGTATAACTTCCCTTTGACATAATGGACTTGTTAATATTTCATGTAGTATAGGTATTCTAGTAGTAAGTTCTCTCAGCTTCTGTTTGTCTAAAGATATCCTTTTTGCACTCTCATTTTGAAAACATTTTTCCTGCAAATTTAAATGTTTTTCCTCTCACAACTTTTAATATTGCATTTCATTTTCTTTTTAGCTCCATTTTTTTAATTAGAAACCAGCTGTCACTTATATCATGGTTTCCCTGTGTACAGTGTGTCCTTTTTCTCTTTATTTCCCAGATATTTGTGAAATGGATAGAGAAGTGTGTGAAATATAAAGTGTCAGGTATGAAGTAGAAGGTGTGAAGTGCGAAGTTGTAGCATATTAACTCTAAGCAGACTTACTGATTAGTTAGGAACGAATATTGTTAGCCTTTGAGAAAATACCCCCCAAAATTAGGTATCATTGAAAAGCCAATGAGGTAAAAAGAATGGAATTCCAAAAATGAAAGTAGCAACAGAAGATGAAGGACATCTGTGAAACGCAAATCTATATCACTCTTCTGTAGTAAAGGACTAAATAAATGCTTTCCTCACAAGACTATGAACAAGGCCAATATGTCCAGTCTCATCCTTTCTAGCCAGCATTGTACAGAAGGCACTAGTCACTGCGGTAAGGTAAAAGAAAGAGAGACAGACAGGGAGATATTGAAAAGGAAAAAATAAAACTGTCCTTATTCACAGATATGATCAACTATAAAAATATACTAAGGAATCTAGAAAAAATTTACTAGAACTAACAAATGAGTTTAACAAGAAACAGAAAACAAGATAAGAATCTTTTAAAAAAAATAAAGCTTGAACAACTAAACACCATTTGCTAAGCAAGCAAACAAACTTGGATACAAAACTCACATGTTATGGAAAAATTAACTCAAAGTGGATTATAAACATAAATGTACAAAATCAAACCACAAAATTTGTAGAAGAATGCACAGAGGAAAATCTTCATAGCTTTAATAGATACACATTTCTTAGCCAAAATACAAAAACACTAACCATAACAGAAGAAAAAGACATATTAGACTTCTGCTCTTCAAACAATACCATTAAGAAAAATAAAATGCTAGCTGTACATACTAGGAGAAAATATTTGCAATACATTTATCCGACAAAGGACATACTTGTATCCAGAATATATACCATACAATAAGACAAATAATACTAACATAAA